TTCTAGTTTTTTTCGAGTTTAGCCCTATACTTCGTTTCAGCTTCGGTCCGAGCGCGGCCGATGTTATGAGCCGAAAGGCCAATCAAACAGCGAAACAGGCACAACGTCATGCGTGCTCTCTGCAGTTGATAGGACCAGCCGGTATTCGCCGTCTCTCTGTGCGTGCTCCTCCGCCGGCTAGTCTCATCAAGTGCAGAGAGCACGCCATGATGCTGCGCTTTTTGCGATGTTTGATTGGCCCTTTGGCTCATAACATCGGCCGCGCTCGGACCGAAGCTGAAACGAAGTAAAAAAGAAAATTGAAACCTTCGAACGTTTCGAAATTTATGCAGAAATAAATTCGAAATCTTCGATTTATCGAACTTTATGTCAATAAAAATTCGAAACGTTCAAATTTTCCGAATTCATATCCAAAGAAACTCGAAATCTTCGCATTTTCGAACTTCAGATTAAAAAGAATTCGAAGTTTTCGAACTTTAGATCCCAAGAAGTTTTAAATTTTCGAATCTCTCGAATTTCAAGTTAGGAAAGTTTGAAATCTTCGAATTTCTGGAACCTCAAGTAAAAAAAAAATATTCGAAATAATTGAATCCGAATTTTTAGAAGCCGTGAAAGCTTCGACCTTTTCGATTTCGAAACTCTACGGTGTTTGAAAGTTGCGAACTCTTCGAATGGGAACCTCGGTGCGGTCGAAAATATCGAAATATATCGAATTTGAACCTCGATTCGGTTCGAAACTATTGAAACCTTTCGATTTCGAACCTAGGGTGGTTCGCGACATCCCTAGTTATGACTTTGTGAACAATAACTGAAGCCTATTCCAATTGTAAAATAAAATATCGAAGGTATCTTCATGGCCCTTTTAAGCGTGCGTGCTTGCACCACATGAAGTGTCACAGTTTTGCGACCACAACATCTTACGCGGGCACAATGTCCACCCATATCAAAACTTAACTGGGTGGCGTTTTTAAATACAGTATTTAGCATTATTTCGCGCATTTAGTTCCCGGAAATTAGCAGTACATTCGGAAAGTTAAAATTGAATGGCATTTTTTTTCATACCTGGCAGAAATTATGACAAACGGTTTCTCTAGTCATTTAGTTGCACATTCACAAGAAAGATTATAATTTATGTCGCACAATTATCAAACCCGCGTCGTTTCTGTAACCATCGTTTCGAGACAGGTTCTCTGTCGCTCGGTTAACAAGTATTCATTCAACGCAGTAGCGTACTTAAACGGCCCGCTGATCAATCTTGCCCTGTGCTACACTATTGTTAAGTTTTATTGCGGGCTTGAATCATCGCGATATGTGTCATAGGCCTTCAAGCGATAAGAAGTGCTTTAGACTTTAACTGTAAAAAGCTGATTCTCAAATGTATTCTTTTTTTTTTTTTTTACAAGAAATTTTTACAACCCTCTGAGTACCCATGCATTCAACCATAATAACGTAAAAAAACGCAACATGAGTAAACAACGGGCAAGGGGAGCACAGCGTCACGCAGGAAGCCCGAGGAGCCCGGGCAATTGGCGCCTCGCAGTCGCGCCGGAGCGCCGGCAACCCGGGCCGTGGCCGTGGGGCAGGCGCCGCCGTCCTCTACTTCTCAGTGTAAGCGGGCACACGGCACACGGCGAATTGTACGACTCCTGTGGAGCCAGTAAATTCATTAGAGTGGGACACGTGGGTAGACCAGGGCGACCCGGGTCGCGCGGGGACTGCAGGCGGGTGCATTTAGAAACCACGTGTGAACGTGGCATTTCGCATCGGCGTGAGCCTTTTTGGAACCGTTTTTTATAAAGTAAGCCTCAACTTCACGTCTCTATGACCTCACCGGGTTCCTGTGACATTTCGCCTACTCCTATGGTTTCCCCTAAATATAGACGTCGTTATTGCAGCGTGAAAGACTGCCAAAGTCGCGAAGGTGACTCAAGCGTCAAACTTTACCGCTTCCCTTCAAGATTTTGGGAAGCGACACGGCGACAAACTGGATTGCTGCAGTGCGACGCATCAAGTAAGTGAATGTTAAATTAATTGTTGAAGTGAACGAAAATACATGAGCAGGTTTGGAAAGTGGTCTGACAAACTCGTTTTGCGGACTACTCGGCAAAATAACATATTTATAGAAGTTGTTTTACGAGTCTCTGAGACAGCCACATAGAGAAATACGGTAGGAAAAATCGGGTCGATTGTTGCTTCACTGTGACGTCGAGAATCAGGCGATCAGGTCTTCAAGCGAGATGCTCGTCGGCCCGTTCCGGAACTCGTGCATTTGGTTGCGAATGCGCGCGCCGTTCGGCACGCGCGGTCGCAACCAAAACCTTCCAAACCTGCGAGTTTTCAAAAAATGGGTTTTCGTAGAAAAATTTTTTTTTGTTTGTTTCGGCTACCAAATTTAATCCTCAGTCTGGTAACAAATGTGACGGCGTGCAGAAAACAGGACGCAGAAGTTTTTCTTTTGAAAAAGCTCATGCGAAGTGTAAATATCCTTCTCAAACGTGCACTTTGTCGCCTGTCGCCTTTTTACACTAGGCTTGTGTACTGTTCTCTAGCACGCAGAGTTCGGTTCTAATTACCCACATTTTATTCTAGTGTCGTGGGGGCGTCGGGAGAAGAAGAGGACGTCCGAGCGAGGCGCGAGCGGGGTCCAGCTGGCGAGGAAAGAGAAAGACCGTGCTGCACGAGGCTGAGGCCGGGCAGGAACGATAGAGCCGTTCTGGCAGGTCTGGCTCATGGCGGTCCCCGGAGCGTTCCACCAGCGAGGTTCGGATCAGGACCGGCGGAAAAGTTGAACCCTGGCCATACCGGCCTAGGCCATGACAATCCAGGAGTGGTTCCGCAGCGAGACTGGCTGTGATAGCCCGGAACAGCTAGCCTACGCAGCGCTGGCGTGGGAAGGACGATCCGCAGGCCTGGATACGGACTCCGACTGCGAGCTATGAACGACGGGCAACAACTAGGGTCGGCGGGTCCGGACTGCCGGCTCTCGAAGACGGGCAACCGGGAAGTGCAGTAAACCCATTCGTTGCCTTCTCATTGTGGTGTGTCACTTCCTGGGAGACGAGCGAAGACAGACCGATCGGGCGGCGATTATTATAGAGTGACCCCACAAGTGGTGAAGGAACTCAAACTGGTGTTCAAATGATAAGTCTAGAATGTGCTCTAAACATAAAATAAACAGGGACATGGCGCGCACGTGCACACAGGAACTGCTGAAATTGGGGTTGCCGCCGCTCGTCACGGCCTGACGGGCAGACTGGCCGCCCCATTAACAGAGGCACCTCCGCTTGTGGAGCTGAATGCAGCACTCTCGTGGCTCCGCCTTGCCATTGCCGGCTGGATATCATGCGCTTGTGCTATCTTGCCCCGAACGACACATAAAAGCACGATATCGCACAATGTAAAACATCTCACTCGAAGCTTTGATCTATCATGACACCGCCTTCGTTGCACTTTTTGAGGGATAACTCATACGCGAAAAGTACGGTGAGGTGCGCGGAAAGATAAAATTGTTTGTTCGACTGGGTGCTGAGTCGCAGCCGTGCGAACGGTATAGTCGACGCAATCATAAAATTCTATGCGCACCGGCACCAACTCGGCAACAGGAGCCGAAATCCACACTAGCCTTTCTATGCCACAGAGGGAGGAGCGCTAACCGTTTGGAGCGCTTCCCCGATTCCCACGTTACCGCACCGCCTCGAGGTGCCATCAGTCCATCGGCGTCTCGCCGTCTGCCGGGAAGCGAAGCGCGAACGCCGAGGAGAGACGAAAGCGACCCCCCCCCCCCCCTCCCCTATACTCCCTCTGCCATCCACAGTTGGTTGCGACATTGCAGAGGGCGCTGGCAAGGAGGAGCCCGCCAAGAACAGGCACCCCCCCCCCCCCCCTCTTCTTCCTCCACCCTCCACAAGACCCAACGCGCTTACATGGCGGAGGAGCAGGCGAGCGACACCCAAACCAACCCTAAGCCCCTCGCAGTAGTTGCGAAGCGGGAGTCTCTTCGCCCACTAAGGTGGTCCGGGAGCTCACGTGACCAACCCAGCTAATACCAGCGCTCATCGTGACCCATCATGGCCATAATCTTCAGACTCATGTCATCAGGCACATTAATGCAATTACCGGACTCATATCTACCTTAAGAGTCACGTCTTGTTTCAGGCTCATGCTCATGAGCCTCGAAACTCACAATCACACTCAAGAGACCTCAAAACTCACGCTCATGAGTACTTCACTTAGAGCTCAAGCTCACACTCGCACTCATGAGTCCTCAGAACTCACGCTCATCAGTTTTCAGAACTCACAGTCAAACTCATGAGTTCTGAGGACTCAAACTCACACTCAATGGTTTTCAGAACTCACGATCACACTCACAATCAAACTCACGCTCATGTTTTCGCAGGACTCACACTCACGCTCCCACTCATGAGTTCTCAGAACTCACGATCACACCCACGATCAGACTCACGCTCATAAGTTCTCAGGACTGACACTCACACTCACACTCATGAGTTCACATAACTCACGATCACACTCCCACTCACACTCATAAGTTCACATAACTCACGATCACACTCACACTCACACTCACAATTTTTCGAGACTCGCGGCCTCACTCACGATCTCCTCAAATCTGACGGTGAGCGTGAGTGATCGTGAGTGATCGCACTCATGAGTGAGAATGCCGAGGTATGGTTACGACCATATACATAATTGGAGAGAGTGGTTTGGCCCCCTTAAGCCCGTAATGTTTTTTTTTTTTAGAGCCTTAGTTTTTGTAAGGACCATAAATAGACTATCGCAGAAAGTGGTTTAGTGTCCCTTTCAGAAACGCCGGGTTGGTCAAGCCCGCGCATCTTATTAATAAGAGCAGCGAAGACGGATCAAGAAGCCCGAACGAAGCCAGCCACGCCTTTTTAAGCCGTCATTTGCGGCTTTAGTGTCTCTAGCTCGTGTCACGGACGCGGGTAATTTGTCGTGTAATAATTTATTTACTTTTTTTACAGGAGGTCGCATCGACCATGGCCACCATGTGACTCGTGCTGGGTTGGCGATGGAGGAAGCGCTCGAGTTTGACCGCGCAGTGGAGGACACTGTGCGGCGACTGGGCTCCGAGGACTCGCTGATCGTGGTCACCGCCGATCACTCGCACACCTTCACCATGGGAGGATATCCCAAGCGGGGCAACAACATTCTGGGTGAGTGTCAACAGGTGCCACCTTGACACCTTGCGTCCCGTTTTTGATTCCGGAAGAGTGATCTGTACCGACTATCGAGGAGAACCTCGAAGTGTGTCTTATATTTCCAACGTGGAGCATGGTCGTGGCAAATAAATATTCGTATTGTAAATAAACTGCCTAAAAAAGTGATATGAATAGATTCCAAATCTGCATTATTTGAAGTTTGCGCCTCAAGGATAACGGTTGGCTAAAAGTCCCTATTGTTTGTGTCAAGTCGGTGTAGTTTGCTTTATCATGGAACCCGAGTCCGCGCTACGTGCGAAGCGGATACGTTACCCCCAGAGCTACGCCACAGCGTTAACCCGTTTTATATGCTGTCGAGACCGCCCAGGTAACACGAAAACATTAGAATAACATTATTTTTATGTTCGTCCCAAACGTTCGAGGAATGTTCTTAATGTCCGCCTGTATAAAGCTATTTGAACGTTTGGCAGAACATTCTTATAACGTTTTGATAAACGTTATTTGAACACTTGGAAAACAATTTTGCAACGTAAATATAATGTCTGGAAAACATTAACATAACATTACTGTAAACATTGTAATAACATTTGTACAACATAAATAAATGTTTTACGCAGCGTTATTACAACAGAAATATAACGTTTACAAAACATTAAAATAATGTTCTGGTAAACGTTATATTAACATTCGTAAAACATGTTATTACCACACTATAGTCGGTGACAGGTCAAGAACGAAGTGGAAGCTCCTCCCACCTCTTTCCACTTGAGCAGAGCAAACGCTGGAGAGGAGGTCGCCTCCGCTCCAGCGTTCGCTCTACTAAAGAGGAAAGAGGTGGGAGGAGCTTCCACTTGGTTCTTGACCTGTCACCGACTACAGCAAAATGTATGCAAAATGTTCGGAAGAGTGTTGTGAACCATGAAGACAAATATATACTGTAAAAGACTGGTTCAGATAGTTGTGTTTGACTGCATTGCCAGGGCTGTTGCCGAGAGACGGTGAATTACCATGGCAACACCTGTCACGTACGGTAACTCAGTCGTCTTACCCAGGTGCAAGCTCTGCAACACGGTCAATTAAAGTGTTTGAAGTAGCCTTAGTTCAGATGTGCGCTATTAATGGTTCAGAAGTGTTCCTCCAAACTTTGCAGGAATTTCACCAGTGCAGTAATGTTCTCTTCTGTTTCACAAGCATTAACACTCCTTGAAACAATATAGGGTGAGCCAAAACAATTCTACACAGCAATGACACCCTAGCTATTATTGAGTATTGTTTACTCAGAAGATGGGGGCTTTGCAATGAGCATAAAAATGTGAGGCACGATCATTATTAGACCTTTTCAAAACAACAGATTAACACGTTTCAATATTCCACACCAGTGAAAAGACTAAATAAAACAGACATGTATGGTTTGTCTTCGTGGCTCTTAACAGTCCCTCCAAACATTTTTCCATAAAAGCAATTGCATTTTTTTTTCGTGAACACTAACCAAGCTAGCTGCGCTTTTTGCTAATACAATGGTGAAAAAAAAAGAAAAAACACAGCCACAGTAGCATGCGGCCTCGAACTACGTGCGCACGTCCTGCCAGTGGCGTGGAGAACTACACCCTCCAAGCACTGGCAGGTTGTGAGATTAGCGACTATCAACACACAGTTATATGACCTGCCCTGCTGCCGTACTGACAGTCATTTGCCTAAAGTGGCGCACTGTACACTGACATTGAAATGTTTTGTTAGCTGAACAGATAATGCGCTTTTCGAGAACTTTATTTTCAACGATGCATGCTTTTGGTTCAATATGGTTGTTGTGATGTGAATCAAAGCTTATTGTGCTTCACTGGAACTGTAGCGAAAACAAAAAGGAAAGACATTCTGTTGCGTTCCGCAATTCCAAGTACACACGATCAGCTTATTCGATACAGATAACCAGCCTTATCGAGACGCATTGTATAGAGTGCCACTCTAGGCGTATGGTCGTTAGCATGTTAGCAGGGCGGCAGACCAGGTCATCTAAACAGATGCTGACAGCAGCTAATTGCACAGCTAGCTGCGGCAGCCATCGATACTAGTTCTTTTCGCTGCCGTCATCAAGTGCGCGAGTATCTCGAGGCCGCAGGCTCCTGTGGCTTCGTTGAATCTTTCCACATCTGTACATATATGTCAGAAAAGGATTATACTCCAAGTGGCCTTTTAATTTATGATTATGGTAATATCTTTGCACTCTTCACCCAAAGTTTCAAGCGAGATCTAAGCAGAGAATGATAAACAAGCAAACAAAAGTTGATCTATGTTTATCATTCTCCCAAACTTGTCAAATCTGTTCGGCCATATACTGATTGTCCCAGTAATTGAACCGAGTGTGTTTGTGAGAGGCATAATAATTTAAAATATTGAACACTAAACCATCACAAAGCTTCTTTGTGACAACAGCTGTAAGCATAAATATAGAAAGACACTTGTTCGGAATATAAACAGCTGTGTGCGCCTTACACGTTTCCGGAGAGGAATAATCAGAAATTCATTTATTCAGCTTAGCCATAATGCCACTCGACACACCACTAATTGAAGAAAAAAGTGTTCCCTTGATAGAAAGTGGGATACAACCATCACCAGATTTAGCACTGCACAAACAAGCATCCATACAGGTGGGTAATTGTAGAAGAACTTGTAGTTGGGCTAGTTCGTGAACGTTGGAAATCATAGTGTAAGGCGCAAAAAACAATGGACACAAGAGAGAAAACAGACATACAGGTGCCACTCGCAACTGTATTTGAAAAGCGCAGAAAGAAAGGAATACATACATTGTCATCTTCATCACGTCCACACATGCACTTAGCCATGTGTTAGATGAAGCGTATATCACATGGCTAAGCGCATGCGTGGACGTGATGAAGATGATGATGTATGTATTCCTTTCTTTCTGAACTTTTCAAATATATATAGTTGTGAGTGGCACCTGTATGTCTGTTTTCTCTCTTATGTCCGTTGTTTTTGCGCCTTACACCACGATTCCCAGGTGATTAATTGCAGTCTACCCCTGCTGAGAAAAGAAAACAGTTTGGTACATGTTTATGGGTACATTTATTGGCTCTCCAAATTTGAAACATGGAAGTGTACACGAGTAGCGACAATATTGCAAGACTATGCAGTTAAAATTATTTTTCCTCTAAAAAAAAATTACAGTGAACAATTATGAAAAAAATGCACTTTCGAAGAAGCTTGGAGGCCTATAAATTGGGTTCATGAAGCTCACATAATTAAAGAAAGGAGCGAGAAAACTCAACAGTGTTTCTCTACCGCAAAAATAAACTAGACATCACAACGACCTCAAACTCTGGTGGAATGCAGCCCTGGCGATTGGAGTAGGGTGAAAAAGTTTGAGAACACAACATTACATGGATCAAAAGATAATAAAGAAAAAACTAAATTTCTCTATGAGCTGACGTCCATCTTAATTGCGGTACATAAAAAATAGCACCAAAAATGCTAGCACTAACTTTGGTGGAAAAAGCTTGCCATCATAAAAGAAAGCATGATTATCTTTCAACTGCTCACAAACTTTCTCATTGAAATGAATGCCACAAGAACTAAAATGTCATTTTACGGTTTTACAGTGGACTCGCTTCATACCAAAATTGTTTCTCTTTATTATCATTATTATCATTTTATTAAATGTTCTCAAACTTTCACACCCTACTCCAAACCGCGAGGGCGTTTCAGAGGAGTTTGAGCTCTCCGCATTCTCATGCCGAGCAGCTATAAATGTTCAAGTTGCAAAAGTAAAAATAGAGCTATAAAAAGCTTAAAAACCTGTCTGGAACACATGATTAGGAAAAGGCTTTAAAAGAAATGTCCACAACCGATGACTAGAGGAAAGCAAGACATAACAAAAAAAAAAAAAGAAAAACATTATTGCCATACTAAGTAGGTGGAAAATACTCATGAATAAATTGTTTTTAAAGGATAAAATAAAAGTAAACACCGAATGTCGTCTTTCTAGAGCTGAGATTCGCACCAGCACTTCCTGCTTTGGACACGATGCTTAGGACTTCTTTGCCTGCAAACAAAACAACACAATACTAAATTCAAAACACCTAAACTTGTTAAAAAGGTGCTATAAAGGAAGCATAGCATGCTTTCCTGAACTAACTTCGCTTAATTCAATATTCAGCCCTTTGTCAAAGATTTGCAGGGATGACGGAGAGATATTGTGTGCAGTTGTCGACTAATAGCAAACATTTTGGTTGAAAAAGTAGCGCGAGTTGCATCTGTTTTCAAACAAGGTTCTCCAAAAGTTCTCCTGCCCTCCTTGCCATTCTGCATACCTGTGGGGACTGACATTTTCAGCTTTTGCAACAGTCAAAACAAACAGTCGTGTCTCCATGTGGGACCAGACCTCTCACTAGCGTTTGCCGAAATTTCACTAAGAATTTCCAAAATCGCAAAGAAACTGCTGGGCACACCGTCGCACTGATGACCTAGCCAATGTCGCTACTATAGCTCGCTTGCCAAGCTCAAAAGACCTTCACTTAACTGGACGACCGGATTTCAGTACCACCCGACTCTGAATCTGTGTCCACGCAAAGTTCACTGAAACCGTTCAGTAGCACTGCTTAAAACCTTTCGCTCCGTTGTCGCTGTCGTCTGCTCTGTCGACCATCAAATCCTCATCCGCCGCCACAAAAACCGAGTTCGGAAAAACGTCTGAAAGATGGTCGCGCACGCTCTCGGCAATTCTTTTTTGGCGGTTGCACAGACGATGTAACGGTTTTTTATGTCATTTCATTTTTCCCCCTCCTGTTACTTTTGAAACAAAGAGAACGACAGGATACCAGTTTACGTCAGATCGTTTTCAAGAAAATAAGCACGTGCACAGTGGTTATCAAAAAGGTGGTTACTTACGGTTCTCGAGTCCCGCCGTCCAGAAGCTGTTCGGTTGTCCGCTTTATCAGTCAGCAGTCACTGTTGTGGACGTTGCTGGACGTAGCTTAATTGGAAATCAAAGTAACTCAAAGTTCAAACTAGTTCAAGCTATTCAAACTGTCCCAGAAGTTCGCTCGAAGAGAATCGAACCGGCGAAACCAGCGGTGGCAGTGACAACAGATGCAGTGGCGCAGTTGGCGCCAACAAGCGCAGTGGCGGGAACGCGGATGGACAAATATTGGCTGTTCCCTTTGTAACGGGCGGTAGCTTGCGCCACCTAGCCTTGCATTGATTGAGAAAAATTTTCTGCTTTTTTTTTTTCCTTTTTCTCCCGTACTTAATCCTCTTCTCCCTTCACCTCCTTGCAACTATCACCGGGCAGGTAGAGTACTTTTCAGAAAGACCTTTAAAAAATCGGGCGAAAAAAAGGGAACCGGCGAACATATATTTTATTTTATTGCTTTACAAATAAAGTTGCATAAATGTTTCATCATTAACACGGACGTAAAGTTTGAAATATATGTTCTAAAATCATTATTTGAATGTTTTATTTTTAAGATTATTTTATTGTTCTACAAATAAAGTTGCATTAATGTTTTATTATTAACACTGAAATAATGTTAGTAATAAACGTTCCATAATCATTATTCTAAAGTTCTATTTTTAATGTTAGTGGACAATTACATATGTGATGTTACATTAATGTTTCAATATTAACACAGAAATAACGTTAGTAATAAATGTTCCAAAATCATTATTTGAACGTTCGATTTTTAACGTTATTTCACAGTTACATGTGTGATGTTACATTAACGTTTCAATATTAACACAGAAATAACGTTAGTAATAAATCTTCCAAAATCATTATTTGAACGTTCTATTTTTAACGTTATTTCACAGTTACATATGTGACGTTACATTAACGTTTCAATATTAACACAGAAATAACGTTAGTAATAAATGTTCCAAAATCATTATTTGAACATTCTATTTTTAACGTTATTTCACAGTTACATATGTGATGTTATATTAATGTTAATAACACAACATATAACATTATATGTTATGCTGGAACGTTATACTAATGTTTCAAATACAACTAAAACATAATATGTTTAAATTGAACGTTACATTAATGTTTAGGTATAACACATAACGTTATTTAAACATACACAACAATAAAATAACGTTACTACAATGTTTGGTGCTACCTGGGCGGTTATAATGAATTCGGTTATAACGAAATAGCGGCTACAGCGAGGCAATCAGGATTTCCCATTTTCCTTTTGCACTTCGTTATATCCGAAGTCAGTTATAACAAAATAGCGGATATAGCGAAGTGATTTTTGATTCCCGCTGACTTCGTTATAACCGGTCTCGACAGTATAGTGTTTTTGTAGTACCCGACGCGCTCTCCGGAAGAAATAGCCGATAACAAAATGCCGTCGTTGCCAGATGTAGCCAACGGCTAGATGTTCATTTTGTTCCTGCGTGAACGCGACGACGCTGCCCAAGGAATTCGCCGTGACGTGTCGCAGCGATCTCTGTGACTCTACTCTGGATTAACACCGGCTTACTCGTTTTTTTTATTCGTGGAAATACATACTTCCTTTTAAGCCTCATGTCATATTTCCACAGGGTCATGCATTTTTAGTTAATCATTAAACTGGCAGGCTCATAGGGTCGACATCTGCCTTGCGAAACTCGTATAATAAACAGAGATTGTGTTTTTATACTATTCTACTAGGAAGTTTTGTCCAGCCGACGCCATTGTTTAGAATGTTAAATTCAGTTCAGACCACGACGCCATTTAGAAGCTTGCATTTGTGTCGAAGTCTCTTATAAACGTCTGCTTTTGAGAGGACGCCGGACATGCCCAAATAATTTGATTTTGCAGCGCCCATTGACTACTTCATAAACGGCAGAAGAATAAGCGCCTCAAAGACAGGGACTGGGAACAAGACAACCCCGAGCGCTACTTCCAACTGGATTGTTTATTGAAAGCACACACTTTATATGCACTATGTATCATGGGGCTCTTGGCACAGGAATGCAATATTCTTTATTAGATGGGTGCGGTGACGGTGGCGTTTGCGCGCTCTAAGAACCGCTTGTCCCATATAATGCACCCCAAAACTTCAGTTCGACGTACAACGCACTACGTTCAACCGATGGTGCCAACCTTCACGAGCGGCTTGTTGGCCGAGTTGTACAACCTATTAAAATCGCCAATGTGCGTGCGACTGACTGTAAAAAAAAAAAAAAAAAGGTTATCTGGGTTTTTTAGGCTCAAGTGGAAAACTTGTGTTTTTTTTTTGTTTTTTTTTTCTTTGATACGTACTTTAGCTGTTTCCTATGTTATATCGCACCGTCATCAACCCTCTCGCAAAAGTTGGGGCAGTCAGTTCGACGTCAGCGCGCTCTACGTGGAACTGAAGTTTTGGGGTGCTTTATATGGGACAAAAGGGTGTAAAACTACACCCCCCCTCCCTTCTTTTCGAGTGCGCAGTCTGTGTGTTTCCGCGCCCTTGCGTTATTAAACTTATTTGACCTTTGTTTTTCAGTTTTCTGATATATATCTATATTTTCTTCTTGTTGTTGTTTTTGCTGCTGTTTGGGAGCATTTGGGCATTTGTCGCGGTGTATGGCGAGATTACTCGAGGGGGAGTTCCTAACAGACATGGCATGCTCGCGTACCCTGTCAATGTCAGGAACCAAAAGGGAGTTCGGGTCATTGTCAGGAACTCCCTGTCGGGCACTCTCGCCATACGCATGGACACATTCCCAAGTGCTCCCCATCTGAAAAAAAAAAAAAAAAAGAATACTAGGAAAAATATGCGCGGCAATCACTGATAGTGATGCTTTTTGACAGCGAAAGTTGTGCTGCTTATTCGACGATATGACGATGGCGATCGATTGACACTGCGCTGATCGTGCGTCATATACGGAGATCTGATATTCAAAGGACATTGCCTTGATTTGGCGTCGATATATTGTTCATGAATAAATGATTGCGAGGTCTCGATGTGTGTTCCCGCCAAATTTGGCGGGTAAACTGATTTAATGCCTAGGTCATGTGACGTAACATTTCCCTCCAAATTTAGAGGGGGAATCTGAATTGGTGCACAGGTCACGTCACGTTCATTATTCCGCTAAATTTGCCGGGGAAACTCGCCGTTTACGCTCACGCCGTCGAAAAACGGGGAAACGGGCCACTAACAGCTCTTGCTGTAAAACTGAAAAATAAAACTGGCGTACACTTTGGAAGTTCTTCCAGCGTGAGTTGAAACGTGGTGCCGCCAGTGTGCAAATATCCCCCGACCACTTCCAGTTCTGAACTAGACGGCGGGTTTCGTAGCTTTTGCGAAGTCAAACATACATGCTATCTTCTTAAATGGATCGTTTGTAGCCCTATCAGACTTAATTCCCTCTTACAATAAAAGAATGACGAGTAAAAAATGAGGAAATATACGTAAACCGGATGTGTGTCGGGGTTACCCAATACGTGGTGCCACTGGGTTTGTTGCCAAACAAAAAAGGGTCAATACGTCCAAGGGGGGAAACATGCTGCATGAGCGCAGCGTCACTGCACCTATCTGATAAAGAATCCGCCTTCCTGTGCAGAGAGCCCGATGATATGCCAGTACATATATGCGTTTTTTAATAAACAATCCAGCTGTAAGTAGCGCTCGGTGTGTCGTCTTGTTACCTCTCCCTGTGTCTGAGGCGGTTATTATTATTATTTTTTTTTTGTTTTTTGATGTACCTACTTAAATTTTACATTCTTGCACCAGCGTAGCCGATAACCCTTACGCAACTGAGCAAATTACTATTCATTCACACTGTTGCGTTTGAGTTCGTTAAGACTGCTTGCGTCTTGCTGTTGCTATGGCGACTCTTAGAAGGAGCCAATGGGGAGGTGCTGACCTGCACGACGCAACACAGCGCAACGCAATCGACATAATTGTGTGAACGAGCCTTCATCCTTAAGTAATTTCGATTTTATACATCGTATTAAGGTGTTTACAATGGTCTCCTCGCTTTCGCGCACTTTCTTTGTAGGCATAGCAGGCTACTCGGACGTGGACCAGCTGCCGTTCACATCCCTCGCGTACGGCAATGGTCCGAATAGCAGGAAGGAGCGGACGAACTTCACAGAAGACGAAACCAGTGAGTTGGCCTTACCAGTCGATCAAACGCCGTCTAATACCCTAGTTACACTAGCGCTCTACACTCACCAAGACAAACTTCATTAGCATTTCCCAACTGTCATTGAGCATAACTAAGTTGTCCGGTGTTACAGGGTACATATGCGTAACAAACCAAGTTCAGAGGCGCGTCATAAGACACAGTTAAACCGGAAGCGAAACCAAAACTGATGTCACATTACCTTTTTTTTTAAAGTGATGCAAATGAATATATGCACAATTTTCATTCATTATAAACGTTTAAAAAAGTTTAAGAAAATAATATTTTAGGGTAAAGAAACGACAACGAAAGGTAGATAGGTAGGTAGGTATTCCGAAAAGGTGAAGAGGACGCGTCCTCTTCATCTTTTCGGGCCATCGTCGGCGTCTCCCGCATGAAAAACTCCGCGGAGTTTGTCTTGCGGGAGTCGCCGACGATGGCCCGTCCGAAAATAGAGGGGAATGTCATGACAGCAGGGAAAGAAAATAAGGGAGAGGAAAGCAGAGAGGAAGAAAAGAGGAGAAAAGCTGACGGTTAATGGTCACACATGCACATAACACACACACACATAAAACCATATACGGTACTATAGTTTGCTGTTTTGGTGTTTGTCACACTTAAGGCCTTCCTAATAATCCATAATCCTTTTAAAAAAATAGCAGAAAAAATATCTGAAGGTGTCTTCGGCGGGCTCCTGAGCCCCTGGGGAAAATGAGGTCATTCGTTTCCTCTAGTGGTGGATAGAGGTCTTGAAGTTGCTGCGAAAGGCTTGCGAAGTCTGAATTTGTGCGTTTACGGGTGAAGAAAACGAGTTTACATTTTGCTGGGTTAAGGGTAATTTGCCCTTTGTGCACCAGTTAACTACCCGATCAATATCACTTTGGAGATGTGAGCGGTCGTCAGGGTTGTTGATCTTTCCGAGCAGTACACAGTCGTCAGCAAAAAGACGTACACAGGACGTTAGTGAGTGCGGAAGATCATTAATGTATATTTGAAGGCACAGAGACGCAGCACTTCGGCGTGCCAAAGAAGCTTTGATCCCATCGCGAGACCGGCGAAACTTGCTTTCGACGAGTTGTGTCATTTTCCTGTAGCACTGCGCTTTCGTAAAAATTTCCACGTGTTCTCAACGGCAAGTCTCAACGCTTACACAGAGTCTTGGAAAAGTTCTTCGGCGAATGACAACGAACGAGTAGAAACCATGTCTTCAGCACGCTGCCGCCAGCCTCTGCAACGCTAGCAAAACCACAATTTCTCTATGAGCAAGATGGCCGTCCGGTGGCTTCACTCGCGGGAGCGGGAATCGCGATCCAGCAATTGTCATAGAGGTCAGTGGTTCGAACACTCCACCGCCCCCACAGCGTCCCGATTAAGGCACGGCGCCGACGTTGCTTGCGCCGGGACGGGACGAGAAGTCGGCTGTGCGAATGAGGCCTTAGATATTAGACGGGAATGCAGCACGGGGTCGAACGCTTTATAGAAGTCTAAGGAAATGGCGTCGGCCTGGGTGTTTAGGTTCATGTTTAGAGCTGAGACAAGACCGGGTTTTAAGCCTCTTGCGACTGCTCCGGACCGGCTCCGCTGCAGCGCATCCGATCCTACGCCGTCGCAAGAGGCTTCAAAATGCGGAAAATCAGACGCTGCGTGCGCGGAGTCCAAGATTCCGTGGCTATTGCGCATACCCGTAACTCGTTCCACAACCTAGTAGGCAAGGATGGCAGCGCACACAAGGCGATCACTTACAACGGCCTAGTATGAGCCGCGTTTCAACGTAATGTACACTAATTGAAATTCTTGCATTTGATTGCCCGGGAAGAATCACCCATCACCCGTGTGCCCTTCTTGCTTTTTAATTCGAGACAGTAGCCATGTGTTATGCGGTTACACAACATACGACTCTCAAAGGAAAGCGGTGAGGATATGCTGGAACTCGGAACAAATCAATAAATTGTACTGCGCACCAAATTCTTGACCCTTCGTGAACTTCTGAAGATGGACATAGGGCCACGAAAGCTCGGATTCATTATCTTAATAATACACGCGTCCATTCACTGTACATAATCTAAACGTTGAAGTAAATAAGACTAGTATTTGTTGTTGCTTAGTTTATCTTTGTTTTATTTTTTAGTTCTTAACCTTACTCCCCCATTTCTTTCTTCGCATACTAGCGAATCAGCACTTATGCAGGTTAAAGGCCTATTCACACCGGAGCGTTTCTTTGCGTCTTGTTACGTTACATCACGTTTCAGTCGCCAAAACATCAGAGCTTCGAATGTTGCATGCCTGTCTACTGCTTGTACACATTGCCACGGTCCATTCGAAGCCTATATATCTCGCTTACTGTCGACGCGAGCCGATGCTTTCGCAATATATTGCAACCTGAAGGCTGGACTCCCGTGATGAATATGCCGCGAAAAATCAACGACTTTACAGGGGTATTCACACGAGGGCACGCGCGCATCGCGAGATGAAAACGCGAGGCTTTTGCACATGGCAAAGCCTGACTTTTTCGTTGTGGGATGCGCGTGCCGGGGAGAAATCCCCGGGATTTCTCCGTCGCGTGAATACCCCTGCGTGTGGCATCAGCTAGGGTGCCTACATGTCTGTCTGTCTCAGGGTGAAGACATCCATTGTTGTCCTGAATGTGCCAGCGCGTGACGCTCTCGCGCACTAGGTGCGTGACTTGGGCGGTAAAATGGCGTCCATGCATTAGCCAAAGCTACGCGCTCGAGCTGAGTGACACCGGATGGCGCGCAGTTCAAAATGCATAAGAAAACTGTTGGGCGGAAAAATGGCTGAGATGTCACCACTCAAGCAAAAGCGCGCGTGTGTATGCAGGCACTCTAGGCATCAGCACACCGGCTGCTACGTCGAGCGCAAAGCGAGCGTGCCGTCGGGCGAAGTTTGTCAATTATTTATCGCATAATAGGCTCCAGGAAACAGTGCTGTGTGCAACCAGCCGTAACATCTTTTTCGAGCATTTATTTCTTTATTTACAGTGCCAAACGAATTGCCAGAGTTCATAGGTTGGCGCTGTAAATAAACGAAACTTCTCTCTATACCTTGTCTCATCCTACGATGAACTAAAGGCCAAAGCCAGGGGCTGCCAGGTCCAATCACGTTCGACGCTATACTCTGACACGCTTAACATTGATTAGAGGTGGACAAATAATGATCGGATCCAAAAGCGGCACATCATTTCTATATCGTCGACGCTGCAAAGAGCTTATATGTCGCGGCTTTCTTTGCGATGTAAAATTGTTGAGTCACTCAGCGCTTTTTGATTCGCACCACTGTCCACCCGTCCCCTGATCCGAGACGCGGGCGCCGATACGTGCATCGAAGCGAAATACCGCACAATCTCTAAGTGGCTCGTGATTAGATTTGGCGGTCTGTAGCGTTTGCCTTTAGTCCATCGTAGGGTGAGACGAAGTACAGCTTTGTCTATAGTCTATTAATGGTGTTGTTTCTTTTTTTCTTTTTTAGCATCGATGTCCTACGTCCAGCACGCGGCTTTTCCGGCTTGGTTGGAGACGCACGCCGGCGAGGACGTGGCCGTGTACGCGACGGGCCCCTGGGCACACCTCTTCTCCGGCGTGCACGACCAGACGTACATTCCGCACGTGCTTGCCTACGCGGCCTGCATAGGGCAGTTTGCCGGAGACGGCTGCCACGCGCGCCGTGCACCGACGAGATGACGGCCAGTGCCTGCGTGAGGGGTGTGTGGACTGAAGCACGGGGGAAGGAGAGAGATGTGCCTGAACAAGGTTGTTGTTCGAAAGGTCTTTGAAATGGGCTCCCCCGGAGCAACGAGTGCGGCCGATGCCACTTAGAAAACTAGGCCTGCGCCTGATTTCATCGTAACAGCGCTTGAGACGAGGGCAACACGATGCTCCGTGTTGTCCAGTCTCCTTTTTTGTTCTCGTCTAAAGCGCTATCATGTTTTTGAATACCCACTAGTGTTGATGTTTGGGAAGGGAAGGTGGGGTGCTTTGGCCTTCATGTAGTATTGGTACGGCCGTCATCGGCCAGGTTTCTTTCGACTCGTCTGACCAAGGCCAGTCAGGGTGACAAGTTTGCCCAAGCACCGCGCATCTCCCTGCAGGAGTGCTGTTGGTTTAGAATCTTCGCGCGGCATTGCAAACGTGTGCCCGAATGAGGACGCGTCTCCTTGATTGGCCCTCATCGGCCCTTTACATGCTGCGCCATATCGCGGCCTTTGCCAGAAATGCGAGTGAACCTTCGCCACATCTCCCCCGTGGCGATGCGGTGCCGTTCAGACTCCTGGCTCTTCCACCGTGGACAGCTGCGACGCTGCCAAGACGTGCACTGATGGTCGTGAAGAAAGTAGGAATGTGAAGACGTCGACGACAACACCTGCGTGTAACTTTACGTGGAAATGGCCTGCCCAGTTGCAGCACCTAGCTGCAGCATCTGCTGGGTCGTACTTCTTACGGTGATGGCCGTCTCGGGGACAACTTTTCTTGGCAACGAAGCCAAAAATACGGGCACCCGTGCCCTCTCCCATTTTGAGCGCCGATTAAAGCTGTGCGGGCGCTCTCCTTTTCTCCTCGGGAATGCTAAGAAAAGTTGTCCCCGAGTGTAGAGAGTTTGAAAAGATAGTTCCGATGACTCCGACAACGACACCCTATATACTCCATCACTGCCTTTCCGTATGCATCGTATTCTTTTATGTATATATCAGGGGTAACGGAGGTATCAGAGTTTAGCAGACCGTTTTTTCGCCCCGTTAACGATACCTCTCCCCTCCGGCGGCCTTGGGCATGCATCGTTATCGGGTGTCGTTAATGGGGCGAAAAAACGATCTGCTAAAACTCTCTAATAGAGTTTTAGCAGATCCACCAACTCTCAATTAGGGAGTTTTCGTAGATCGTTCAGACACTTCTGAACGATCTATTGGCGCGGGTGCGTAGCCGATCCAGGGGTTGTGCTTGTGCGTAGATCGTAACCCGCTAAATCTAGCGGGAAACGTTCTCCGCTGAATTTGACGGAAAATCTGTGTCGCGTGACGTCGTGTCACGGCCGGGGTGCGAGTGTTACGTGACGGTGATTCCGGGCTAAATTTAGAGCGAAAATTTCTCCCCTGATCGGGGAGTCATGGTGACACTCTACAGTGACGCCATGGTGCCACATGGTGCCACATGGTGCCACATGGTGCCGCGTGACGTTAGCGCTACGTGGCACTGATTCCCCGCTAAATTTAGCGGAACAATTTATCTGCCAATTTTAGTGGGGAATCACGGTGGCGCCTGACGCTGTGACGTCGGTGGTGCGTGCCGACATGGTGTTGCGTGACGTCTGTTTCGCCTTCTTGTGTGTTTCTTTCGTTTTAAGTCAATGAAGTTTACAAGGATTTGCCAAATGCCCTTTCCATGAATGATGTTTTACGATTCTTTTGTTATGATAGTGTATTAGGACTTTGGAATATGCGCATGCGGTTCTAGTTTTGTGTGAAAGGTAAAGGAAACCTTTTTATTTTTTTTAAAGCATTATGTCACTGGAAGACTTTAGAATATCTCGTGTGAACATCTTAGTAATAATAAAAAAAAGTTTCAATTCGAATTACGGGAAAACACACCCGATTCATGAGAATCTGCGTTGTTAAAACACGTTTTGAGAAAAATGAAGTTTTTTTTGCAAGAAAATTTTTTTTTTCGAAAACTTAAAAAAAATGGTTTAAAGTATTTTTTTTGTTTTCTCAAATCAATAAAACAACGTACGGGAGCATCAAAAATACTTGCGAAAATACGGTACATTTTAATGGGAAAGCAATAAAGTGTTAATGGAAACAACATATGTATTTTTTTTTGGCACTATGGATTCGATTTGTAAATGAATTTGTTTTATATGTCATTGATATGTTACACTGTTAAAATATGACGAATGTTATCTTGTTTTCCTGGGTTCCATGGGGTGTTCTGTAGCGAAAGAAAGCTGACCAGAAGTTTTTCCTTTTTTTTTTTCAGGAGAGTAAATTATGTTTGCAAGCGCGTGAAAATGGCAACAAGAAACAATCTGGCTTGGGGTCATCTGGTGCTAATGTCGCCATCTCGTTGAACCCATTGAAATAAAATGCAGCGAAAACCACCCTGTTAAATTTATTTACAACAAATGCGCAAATTGAAAGTCAAATTAAATCAAATCAAGTCAGTTTATTTTTCACCTTGTACAAAGAAGATGAAGGAGCTGTGGAAAAAAGCTACAGCATTGCAGCTTGACGAGTCCACAGACCCTTAATATTTGCAGCTAAGCAGCATCGTGCTAAAGTATTCACAGAAGAGAAAAACAAAAACAAAAAAGGCGGGAAGAAAAGTAATCGTAACAATACATTGCAACAACACACTCACAAAAAACTAACAAAAAAACATTGTGATCATAAATGTTAAGGGTGCACACATTTAAACAAAACAAAAAAAATTGTCGAAATCATACTCTCTCGGTTTCATACATTCTACGGAGTTCACTGTATTTACAGGTAAATAAATCAAAATACAGAAGATGATGATATCTGTTTAATAAAGACGGCTGTATGAAACTTGGACAATCTTTTCCATAGTTCGAACGAGGTGTACGCACTACCCAATTTTCTCTGTCTTTATTTTATTTTTTTAATTAATACTGTTCACCCTTTTTTCAGGGCGGTTACAGGAGTGGAAGAAAATGACATATCAATACATTTCACAATGTATAAGAAAGTATACAATACAACCACGCGGATACAAGCACACAAGTTTTGACACACTTTCTGAATATGTTTGAAATATAACCAAAAGACACACTCAGAGCACCAAACAGCTTCGCTTCTCCAGCGTTTCCTCAAAGGCAACAATATTTTCTATATTTACAGTATCCTCTGGTAGATCGTTCCATTGTTTAACAGTTCTAACAGAAAACGAATACTTAAAAATGTCATTGTTTACCCGTTGTATTTCAAAGGCCTTGTTATGCACACCCCGCAATGGCCGAGTCGAGCGTGGTAGCAAGTAGCGGGAGGTGTCGATGTTCAGCTCGCTTCGAGAGAGCTTAAAAAGAAGTTTAAGTCTGGCGATATCTCTGCGACTTGACAATAAAGGGAGGCTTAGTTCTTTGAGCATTGAAGTCACCGAGTCAGTTCGACCATACCTCGAACAGATAAAGCGGGCAGCCAATCTTTGTATTTTTTCTAACTTATCAATTTGGTTCTTCCTACACGGATCCCACACAGCACAGGCGTATTCCAGAGTTGGTCTTACCAGGGTTGTGTATGCGGATAATTTTACATTAAGCGGAGCATGCCTTAGATTGCGCTTCAAGAACCACAACTTTTTATAGCCTTACGATACAAACTATCTACGTGCAATTTCCATCTTAAATCTGAGGCTATCATTACCCCTAAGTACTTTAAATGACCAGCTACTGTTAAAGACACATCTCCTATTTTATAATTGTAAGTAAGAATGATTTTTTTTTTGCTTGCTATTCTGAGAAATACAGTCTTTCCCGGGTTCAGCTTCATTCCCCACTTTTGACACCAGTTATCTACTGAGGAGAGCGACAAGTTTAAGTTTTCTTGGTCTACAGGGCTACGAAATTTAGTGTAGAGCAGGCAGTCGTCTGCGAATAACCTAAGTGTAATATTGGAGCTTACTGTTTCCGCCAAATCGTTGACGTAGCATAAAAATAACACTGGTCCCACAACTGACCCTTGGGGGACCCCCGACGGCACCCTACAGACAGATGACGCAACCCCATCAATAACTACGAACTGCCTCCTATTTCTAAGGTATGCGCTAATCCACTGAGTGACGCGATCATTAACTTTGTAACTAGTTAGTTTTCTTATAAGCCCTTCATGAGATACCCGATCGAATGCTTTTGATAAGTCTAGACAAATCGCGTCTATTTGCCCTCTTTCGTTTGACGAGCACGAAAAATCATGAAACGTTTCAAGCAACTGCGTTACTGTGGACAACTTTCGTCGAAATCCACGTTGGTTTTTATAAAAAATCTTTTGAACTTTCAAAATAGTCGTAAAGGCTTCTGGAAATTGCTGCTCAAAAAGCTTACAGGAAGTGCATGTTAATGAAATAGGTCTGTAGTTTGTTACTATATGCTTATCTCCCGATTTGTGAACTGGAACAACCCTGGCACACAACCAATCCCTGGGAAGGCTATGCTGTTCTAAAAAAACCCGAAATATAACTGTCAAGTATTTAGAAATCCACTCTGCATATCGTTTTAAAAATTCATTAGGGATATTGTCTGGTCCAGGTGACTTTTTGGAATCAATATTTAGTAATAGTGAAAATACTCCTCGTTCGGTGATAGTGATGTCCGGCATTGATCGAAGCGAGTCGGCACCTCCAGTGCTCAAATCCGCGGTGATATTCGCTTCAACAAATACAGAGCCAAAATATTCGTTGAACAATCTGGCTATAGTGTTCGGGTCTAAAATGTTTTTACCATTTTCCGTAATATACTCTATTTTCCCCTTTGAAGGTGCAAGATATCTCCAGAATTTCTGTGGTGCCGTCCTCAGAAACTGTGGTAAAACGGAAGTAAAATAATGCTTTTTAGACTGATTTAATTTGCATTTCAATTCATTTGAAAGACGGGAAGCGTCACCTTGGTTTATACATTTTTGCTTTCGCCTTCTTTTTATTCTACGCTGTAATTGAATAATGTCCCTTGTAATCCGCGGACGTTGCCTATAAATACGTTTTTCCTTTTAGGAACAAAACGTTCTAAGCAGTGGTTGATAATGTCTTTAAAACGGCACCACAGGTCATCTCCGTCCTTTGCGTCATCGAATCTAGATAACGATGGTTCTAGATAATCCAAGATATCGACGTCGTCGGCGTTGTTAAAGTCACGCACATAATCTACCGGATGTTTAGAGGCCGCCCTTGATGATACAACATTGCAAGTCATCGGGACTAATTTATGGTCTGAAATACCCTCGTGCGAAGACACAACACTGTCACTCAAATTTGTACCGACAAATATTAAGTCCAGTACGGAGCTTGCAGTTTTTTCCGCTCGGGTAGCCTCATTCACGACTTGCGTTAGGTTCAGGTTAAATATCATACCAAGAAGCAATTCAGATGATTTGACGTCTACGTTGCCTACCTCAAGGTTGCTCCAATCTATTTTGGGCAGATTGAAATCACCCGCAAGAATAAAGTTATCTTCGTTAATGAAGTTAGCAATTGTGAAATCGTAAATTATTTCCATCGTGGACAGTGGGGAATCAGGAGGTCTGTAGACCGCTCGTATTACATACTTTTTGTCACAGAAAGTAATTTTGCACCATACACTTTCGGTATCTGGAAGATCATCCATCACAAGGCACACGATTGATTTTTTAAAAATTACAGCAACACCGCGCCCCCCCCCCCCCCCCCTCCCCCCCGCGTTGGGCGGTCTTTTCGGACCATCTTGTAAGCAGGTGGTAGTATTTCCTCGTCTTTTATGTCTGCGTTGAGCCACGTTTCTGTGACAACGACAATATGCGGATTATATAGCATTAGTATGTGTTCTAACTCGCTAACTTTATTGACGAGACTTCTAGCGTTCATATTGATAAGTCTGAGCGGTTTTGTTTTTGTCTCCCGCGATTGTCACTGATTCGAACTTTGTACCTTATCTCTCAGCTTTGTTCGGCTGGCGGTGTT